CATTGCAGCCTCCTCCTTTGTTTACCCTTCACATCCCTTCCCAGCCTCCCCCCTCCCCCCACAATCCCAATCCTTCTCCTTCCCCTCTCCCCCCGTGAATAATATTTATGATCATTTTGAGCAATACTTTTTTGCCTCTAAGAGGCAAAACTAGCTAAAAGAGTGGGGAATTTTGGAGGAATCCATAAATTTCATGATTATGAAGGATCACTGCAGATTAACATCACAAATAGGTGAATAAATGATTAAAATTTAAATTATACGTAGCTGTAGTTGTGGCTAATATAAATTTATGTAAGAATAGTACTGAATTCATAGTGCCTTTTGGGCTTATATTACTAGCTGTCTGGGATTCTGAGAAATCTCCTTTACTTGTAAAGGGTGAGAATGATTGATTGAAAGAGTGGTTTGTTCACATTGTTCCCTCTACCTGGAATGACTTCTTTACCTCTGTGTCTCCATTAGTGAGCTCCAACTTATCCTTCAAATTTCAACGAAAAATTTTTCTCCTCTGAAGGTTTTTGCTATTTCACACTGCCACCCCCTCATCCCAATCCACGTTATCATTCTTTCCTCCAGTATCCATACAGCTTCTCTCTGGAGATTCTGTGTTTACTGTCAGATAGTTTTTGTTATTCCCACTGCTTACAGATTCTTCTAGTTCAAGCACCAGATCTTATTTTTGAGTTTACCACTCTTTTCAGCCTTCCTTTCCAGAACCTGGAAGTGTTTTGAAGTTAGTGAATAGTCAATGAACGTTTGTGAAATTGAATGCCCAACATGAGATTTGGACAAAAATTGAATAAAGATTCAATGTTTAGATTAACTGAAGATATAGATACATTGTTGGATTTTTTTTTGTGTGTGGTGGTGGTTGTGTTTGTTTGTTTTGTGGTGCTGAAGATCAAACCCAAGGGTTTCTGAATCCTAGGCAAGGACTCTACCATTGAGCTGTACTGCCAGTTCCTAGATGCATTTCAGTGTCAGGCACCCTTAAGCACTCAAAGAAGCTTTTCTGGGTTCTAAACTGAAGAACAATATTTGTTACAATTGATAGAGCAAAGAGACATGTTTTAAAAAGTCATATTTGTCATATTTGGGATCCAGACTTTTGTCTTTTCATTCTCAAATAGATCTCGATGATATAATTACCATTTTAGAGAAGCCATTCTTTATAGATGGTTGATGTTATATCAGGATTCAGTTACACATCGTATAAGCTGTGCCAGCATGTGGGACCTGTAAACCTGTCTCTGCAGAGCTAGGAAGGTGTAGTACACACGTTCTGTGGACTGGCTGCTGCAGTTGAAGATTTCAAGGCCAAGATTTCAACTAATATATTGCTTGAAATTCCCCTAACTGTGGAAACATTTATAGAGTTCCTATGTTCACAGCACATGAAAATGAGATAAGAAGTGGTTCTTCATACTTAACTTTCTTCAAATAGCTCATAGTCAGAGTTAGTATCGGATAATTAAATATCACAAAATGTGGTAACTGCTCTAACAAAGTTCTAAGAAAGCATAGAGGAGGGAAGGATTTATTTTGTCAAAGAGAGGAGGCATTGATTTCCAGAAAACGTGACTTATTTAATTTGGTCTAGAAGGACATGAACTTGTTGCAGAGGGCAAGATTAGGTGGAGCATTCAGAAAAGAACAGGTGTAGAATGGAGGAGGAGGACTGTTGGTAGAATATATTAGTCCAGGAGGAAGATGCAAGCTAAGACCAGTGTCATTAGGGATAGAGAGGAGAGACAACATCAAAAGAAATTCTACTTGATGGATGGAAGGAGTATGGTGGATATTGGGGTGGTAAAAAAAAACCAAAACCAAAACAAAAAAAAACATGAGAGATAACTGATTTTCTTGTTGTACAATTTTGATGATGATTGTGTTGATATGTGTAGGTTAAATGTCCTTATGTTTAATAGCTTAATAAGTTAATAGGAAATAGTGTTAACTATAGTTTTCTGAGTTTTACAGTTTACATGTTTTTTTGCGGGGGATATGTGCCTTTTTTTTCTTCAGGTGTTATCGGAGTTAGATATCACGGTTCCACTTCAACTCTTAATAAGTATGTTTTCTGATGGAGTTAATTCTGTCAAAGAACTGGCAAATCAAAGAAAATCAAGAGTCAATGAACTGGCAGGGAACCTTGCAGCTCGAAGGGTAATTATTTCTTGTTTTACTTGTTAAGATTAAAATAAAATAAAACTCCTGTCAGTTATATCAGTATCTGAAAGTATCTCACTAGGAATTCATCACATCTCGTTCCATTAATCTTTTAATCACAGTAAGTAAAACATTTAATTAGGATAGGTTTGGTACAATCTCTTAATCAGTAAGTTAATGACTTTTTATTTTCCTTTGAATTGGTTTGAAGTTTAGTTTCCTCATCATTGATAAAGGAAACAGAATAGCTTTTTTGGTTATATGTTCTGATTTTTTTTTTTGGTGGGGGAGAGTGTTTCCCAGTTAATAAGAATTCTTTACTAGCCACTGGCATATCAGCATTTCTCGTTGGGAGTGAGGAATTTGGAGGATTAATTATTTCTATTTGCCATGTGTTTGGGGAAGGTCAACCGGTGGAAGCTGTCACTGTGAACTATAGAATATATTTCCTTGATTTCTTTGTACTTTTGTGGATGAGAATAATATGTCAAAACTGTAAGAACTTTTTGATAATGTTGCTGTGGAGGACTTGAGAGGACCTGAGAAGACCTGAAAGTTTCTGCTGATAGAGGGATATTCTCAGACCATGAGCAGTTTTGGAGAAGTTGACTTTCACCTAAGGGTTGTTCTCAACTCTGAAATCAATGCTCTCAGCATCAGGCCTCTCCATAGAACAGTCCCATAATATTTCCACCTGCCATTAGGGATCAGAAAGTCTAATATAATCATGGGATCATACTTGGTATTCAGTGAAATGAGTTCCCATAGATGACATTATAAATATCCATGGATTCTGATTACTCTTGCTGTTTGTTTTAAAAGTGGTGTTTGTGGATCTTGATGAGAGAAAATAGAGTGATATACAGATAATTTGGCAGAACTCTGCTACAAAATCTATCTTTGATATAAGTGAAAAACCTTTAATGAAGATTCTTCCTGTAGTTACAGTAAAGGTTAAAAGCCAGTAAGGATTGCTGAAGCACCCACAGTCTAGTAGCAGTCCAGACGGAAGTTACTGTGCTCTTAGGGCTGAAGGAAGAAGGAAACGATTTCTGGGCTGAGAGCAGTACCCCAAGAAAGGGCTGACTGGAAGAAAATATGCAATAGTAGCAATACTCCATGAATGTAGCTCCAAAGCAGGAGAGGTTAGTGAGAAATATTCCTACCACTCAGCCGTCCAGCTTCAGCTCTTCTGCTGCTGTCTCTCCTTGACTAAACCCAACCGGATACTAGGTAATAGGAGACAAGGAAAATTCAGTCCATAGCATCCTTGGGTATAAAGTAAGGGTATTAAGGTAGTGATGGCCTAGTTTGGGCATGGGGTGGGAAAAGGGAGAATAACAAATATAGTAGGTTTGATATGAAGTGTTTTCTGATGATAGTTTCATCATTATAATCCCAGAGGCCATTGTTCTTTAATGAGTCATATCAATTTGAGATTCTGTGCTTACCATCTAAAATTTATCTTACAGTGCTTCCCTTTTTCAATCCCTCATTTTTTCTGGGTCTGGTTTTCAGTAGGTTTAAACAATCTAGTTTAATCTCATTTGATTGGAGATGTTTGATGGGATGAGAATGTAGTCAAATGTCTTCATTCTTCAGGTTGCTGATGAATACTAGTTCATCTAAACTGTCAGGAACCTAACAACTGCTCTGAAAATTTGGATGGCTTTACTTCTTGTTTTTATGTTTTGAGACTATAGAGAGCATTTGGAGGGAATATGGCCATTGGGAAATGTCAAAGGAACTCAGTGTGATAGCTGGAAACACCTTCCATTGAGTCCTCAACTATTTTATTTGGTAATTTTAGCTTCTGAGTATATTCATGCATGACATTTTTTCTTACAGGTGAGTGTTGCCTCTGATCCTGGTCGGCGAGCTCAGCATAATATGCTGAGCCCATTTCATAGTCCTTTCCAGAGTCCATTTCGGAGTCCTATGCGTAGTCCATTTCGTAGCCCTTTCAAGAATTTTGGACACCCAGGAGGAAGGACTATTGACTTTGATTGTGAAGATGATGAAATGAATCTAAATTGTTTCATCCTCATGTTTGATCTTCTCCTGAAGCAGGTAGCTGAAGCATGAGCTTCCTTTAGATCAGAGGTGAAGAATGAGGCATTGGATAGTAATTCTTTTATATGAATTGGTATCTTCTCACTTACTGAAAGGATGCATCAACACTCAAGACATTTTTGAGATTCCTTTGAGAATTTCCTAAAGAGTATGAAAACTACTTGTGTGAATATCTACAATGATATTAACATGAGAAGGGTTTGAATTTTAGAAGCACACAAGCATTATTAGAGTTAATGCTGTTGACTAAGTTGATTGAACAAACTGGATAATCGTTATCTTCAAAAAGAACAAAGTACAATTCTCTAGTGATGGGGCTAATTTTAATATATTTTATAAATTGCTACTTGATTATTTTTGTGTATAGGTATGTATTTGTGTATGTGCTGGTCCTGGGGCTTGAATGCAGGACCTGGACACAGTCCATGAGCTTTTTTGCTCAAGTACCACTTGAGCCACAGCTCTATTTCCAGCTTTTTGCTGGTTAATTAGAGAAAAGACTCTCATGAACTTTCCTACCTGGGCTGGCTTTGAACCCTGATCCTCAGATCTTAGCCTCCGGATTACTTAGGATTATGTATGTGAGCCATTGGCACGCAACTATTTGGGGATCTTTTTAGAAGATGAGTTTTGTGATGATACGAGGGCTTTAACACAGGGTCTAAGCACTGCCTGATTGTTCACTCAAAGCTGGCATTATTGAGCCTACAACTCCACATCCAGTTTTTTGGTTGTTAGAGTTAAGAGTCTTCTGGACTTTCCTGCCTGGGCTGATTTTGAACTGTGATCATTAGATTTCAGTCTTCAGCGTAGCTAGGATTACAGGTGTGAGCCACTGGCTCCTAGCTTGAAAAGATAAGTTTTTAAGCTTTCATCAAGAGAACATTTCTTTGTAACTTTCTTTTTGAAACAAGTATTTCAGATTTGCAGAGAAGTTACAAGAAGACTACCAAGAACTCCTAAATACTTCTCCCTCAAATTCTTAATATGTTAACACTTTTATCTTTTTCTCTCTTTGTATATGCACGAATCTGGTTAATCTTTTTAAAGAGTAAGTTACAAACGTGGTATCCCCATATACCTAAATACTTAATGGAGTATTTTCTACAAAATATGGACATTCTCTTATGTCAACGCAATATAGTGGTAATATAACCTTAAACACAAAAGATTCATTTTTAAACATTTATTTTTATAAAACATTTTAATTTTTTGTAAAAACTTTTTATTGTAAATTGTAAACAATTTTATTTACAAATTTAAATGAAAAAATTAAAAATTGTAAAATTTTTACAATTTGTAAAATTGTAAAAAAATATTTTTGCTGATAGTGGGGGCTTGAACTCAGGGCCTCATGACCTCATTTTGCTTTTTCACTCAAGGCTGGTGCTCTGCCACTTGGGCCACTTTGTCGACCTCCAGATCATTCATTTTTAAATTGATACAGTAACAATATCATTTTTCTAGCTAAATAAGAAGAATAGCAGCAGAAATGTTTTTGGTCCAGGAGCAATCCAGAATCACTGTGTCCATTGGTCCTATTTTCTTACTCTTCTTCAGTCCAGGACAGTTCCTCATATGTATCATTCACATCCTTGACATTCTGAAGAATATTGCCAAGTTGTTATTATTATTATTCTTGTCGGCCATGGGGCCTGAATTCTGGGTCTGGGCACTGTCCCTCAGCTCTTCAGCTCAAGGCTAGTGTTCTACCACTTGAGCCATAGCACTACTTCTGGCTTTTTTCTGCTTATGTGGTACTGAGGAATCAAACCCAGGGCCTCATGCATGCAAAGCAAGCACTCTACCACTGAGCCACCTTCCCAGCCCTGCCAAGTTATTTTGTAAAATGTGTTTCAATTTGGGTTTGTCTGATGTTTCTTTATGTTAATTGGAGTCATACATCTTGGTAGGAAGATCACAGATGTAATACTATGTCCTGTATAGGCAGAAGATATAATAGTTTCCTTCCTGGTGATGGTAACTTTGGTCACTTGGTTAATGAGATTTTTTTGCCAACTTTCTTTACTTTATAAAGGTCACTACAGTCAGCCCTCTGTGTGTTCCCCTGGGTTCTACATCTACAGATTCAACCACAACCACAAATCAAAAATATTTGAAAAAATAGAAATTGTATCCATTCTGAACATATACAGACTTAGGTTCTTCTTATTATTCCTTGAACAATACAGAATAGCAACTATTCATATTGTATTACTTAAAAATAGTCCTAATATGATTTTAGGCATATAGAAGGATATGCATAGGTTATATGCAAACACTGTGACATTTTATATAAGGGATTTGAGCACCCATGGATTTTGGGATCTGTGGGTGGTTCTGAAGTCAGTCCCTTAGAGATATGGAGGATGATTATATGTTACCTTTTGTCATTAGTGACATGTGGGAGAATACTTTTAAGACTACAAGACTTCCTATTTTTTATCAGATTTTAATCCACTAGTTTTGTTGATGGATGATTCATTCTTAAATCCGTTATTACTATGATGACTGCTTAATGATAATTATAATTCTATAATTTCTTTAAAATTTATTTGCTGATATTCTACTAAAGGAACAGGTTTTCCTTTTTGCTGACATACATTTATTCATCTAATTACTCCTGCATGCACCACTGAATTTTTATTTTATCAAGTGGGTTATAATGTGCTACTTACTTGTTTTGTTTGTATTGTTCCATATATAGTCAGTGGGAGTCCTGTCAAGATGGTTCTTTTGGTCTTCTCTTCACTCTGTCTTTGTTCCTGTCTCTCTATCTCTGTGAATTTTTGTGTTGCTGTGGATAGAACACAGGATCTGTATACACTAAACAAGTGCTCTACTACTAAGCCGTATCTCCAGGCTTCCACATTTCCTTGATTTCTAGCATAGCTAGGTATGTTCCAGGCTCATTTTTATATTTTTCTAGCCCTTGATGAAATGATGCCAGGCATTTCTCCACGGAAACCTGGTTCTTGTCAGTGGATAATAGCTTTTAGAAACCACGGTCAAGGTGAGGAGCAGAGTTGTTTTTATAATAGGTAAAATCTGGACTGGAGGTGTGACTTAGTGGTAAGAGAACCTGTCTTACAAGCATGTGGCCCTGAGTTCAAACCCTAGTACTGCGCAAAAGAGAGAGGGAAAAATGCATTCTATTAAATGGGCAAAATCTCACAGTTATGCTTGAAAAATAACTTTTAAAAACTCTCAAATTTCACACATGATTCTTAAAAGAATTCCTATTACTTTGACTTGTATTTATATTATTTTTAGAGGAGCTTATAGAAAGGAATGTATATTCTTGTTTTAGAACACTATATTCTTTAATAATATGATAATACTGTCAATTATTAAAAATTATCTCTAAGTAGTGTCAATAGAATATTTGATAAAAGGACCAAACTTCTTTTTTTTTGTCTGTGTGTATGTGTGTGTCTCTTTTCCATTGTCTTCCAGATGGAGTTACAAGATGATGGAATTACAATGGGTTTCGAGCACAGCTTGTCAAAGGACATTATTTCTATTATAAACAATGTCTTCCAGGCCCCCTGGGGGGGCTCCCATTCTTGCCAGAAGGATGAAAAAGCAATTGAGTGTAACTTATGTCAGTCTAGTATTCTCTGCTATCAGCTTGCCTGTGAACTCCTGGAGAGACTAGCTCCCAAAGAAGAAAGCCGGCTGGTGGTAAGCAGTTGCAGAAATGAGATGACTCATATATAGTAGTAATAAAAAAAATTCAGTAGTTGGTGTAATGGGATCTTTCTCCAGTGTTCTTCTGCATGCTGGGTTACAGGTAAGATTGTGTTAAAAGAAAGGCCTTGTGTTTCTGCTAACTCAGGCTCCTGGAAAGGGATGGAGCCCCATACAGAACTCAAGTAGGTGGTTTGAGTTAGAGTCATAGCAACTTGATTTATGTAATTCTTATGAATGCAAAATATTACTCGTATTCCTAAAATAATTTTAGTGCTAAATTATTTTATAATTTAAGTAATAATGCAGGCGGTAGCATATGTAACCATATAATAAATAGCTTGTAAATGGACACTGTTCCAAAGTAACTTTGGATTGTAAAACACATTGACTTCATCAGCAATCAAGAAAACCTTCATTCCTTTATACAGATTACTTTTCTTGTTTAAATAAAATTGTCTAAATTGATAAATGCCAAATTTTGTTCCAGATAGTAGCTATTTTCAGAACAGCCTATTTTTTAAAGACCTAAGATATAATATTTATAATACCAAAATACTTTCATACCATCAGAAGTAGATGAAGCTGAATTACTTGAGCCGTTTCCTGCCACCTTTTTCTCTTTTGTCTTATCTTTTCTGTTAATCTAGGGTTGAAAGTAACTTCTCTAAAATGTACAGTATACAATCAATGAAGTCTTTCTTTAGTTCCAATTCATTTAACTTATTAGTCCTACCTGGCTCAACATAAAATCTTTGTAGTATATATTCTAGCATAGTCATCAGATATTTATTGTAGGACAGTCACAACTTCCAATGGCCAGCTTTTGGTAACCCCCATTTTATTCTCTACCACTAGGAGTTTTAGATTCATATGTGAATAATAATGTGCTGTGCTTGGCTTTCTGTTCCTTGCTCATTTTGTGTGGCATAATATCCTTCCAGTTCAATTAGTAAGTATATAATAATATTTAACATCCACCCATCATAAAACCAAGTCCAAACGAGACACAATAATAGATGATGAGAAATCAGTCTCTGGAGCTCACTGGTGGAGAATGCTAGATTAGCATACATGGAAGCCTCAGGTTTAATTCCAACAAAAAAAAAGTCCTATGGTTTAATCAGGAAGACTTTTTTTTTTTGGTCGTGGGGCTTGAACTCTGGGCCTGGGCACTGTCCCTCAGCTCTTCAGCTCAATACTAGCGCTCTATCACTTGAGCCACAGTGCCACTACTGTTTTTCTGATGGTTTATTGGAGATCAAAGTCTCACAGACTTTCCTGCCCAGGTTGGCTTTAAACCATGATCCTCAGATCTCAGCCTCCTGAGTAAGCTAAATTATAGGTGTGAGCCACCAGCACCTGGCTAGGAAGACTTTTAAGTAAAGAAAAAACTGTAGGAAAAGACAGCACTTGGGCTGGGAAGGTGGCTCAGTGGTAGAGTGCTTGCCTTGCATGCATGAAGCTCTGGGTTCGATTCCTCAGCACCACATAAAGCAGAAAAAGCCAGAAGTGGCGCTGTGGCTCAAGTGGTAGAGTGCTAGCCTTGAGCTGAAGAGCTGAGGGACAGCGCACACGCCCAGAGTTCAGGCCCCATGACCGACAAAAAAAAAAAAAAAAAAAACCTTGGAAAAGATAGCACTTGGAAGGTTGAGGTAGGAGAATCTTAAGATCAAGGGCAGCTTGGGCTACATGGCAAGACCTTGTCACACAAAAAAACCCAAAACAAAGCAAACTAAAAATCCACAAGACAGTCTGATGAATCAAATGATGAAGGGATGAACAAGGTAGCTCTTTGTGTATGGAAAAATCCATATGCTGGGGCAAGAAAACCTTCTTGGGGAAGAGGAGACCTGAACATTAAGTAAAGGAGGAGTGGAATTAATGAAAGGAAGATTACAGGACTTTCCAGAACTAGAAAAGTGCCTAAAATGATAGACACCCATTAATCCAATTTTTTTGCATGGATAGATTAATCCATTTGTCAGGGCAGAATCCGGATTATCTATTCCATCTTTATTATCTCAGAATTTTAACATGGGTTTCAGAGGGAGCTGACCATACTCAAACCACTGCATTCAAGTGCTGATGCATGCATCATTGGAAATATGGATCATATTCCTCAGGGAAGATTAGAAAGATATGGATGCTGTAGCCATGTGCATACTGTGGTAGGGTGTGCAGGGTGAGATGGGAAGAGAACTAATGTTGTAATTCTGGGAAGTACTAGTTCTTTAGAAGCGGAAGAAGGAACAAAAAAAAGAAAGACCGGAAATAAATTGAGAAGAACCAGAGATACAAAAGAAAAATGGGAGAACATTAGCACAGAAACCAAGGTAGATTGTTTAGAAAAGGAGGGCATAGTCTTCCATATTGAGTTTTAAAGAGAGGAAAAAGATAGAAAAGGGCCCTTGGATTTCTGAAATTAGGGCATCCTTAGTGCTCTCAGAGATGATGCTAACCAAGAGCCAGAGGCAGATTCTAGAAGTTTACAGTTTGAAGACAGTCAGCTGAAGAAGTATTTACAAGAAGTATGGACTTTTCTTTCAAGGAGAGAGTGAAGAAGTTGGTTGGGGCTGCCAGGAGCTTCCTTTGCCCTGTTCCTAACAGACCTTTAATTTCATTTTTGAGTTAACATGCATTTGTAATATGAGGTTTTGTTGTGATATTTCCATATATACACACAGTATAATTTGAATAAATATCCCCTCTACCACATTCCCATCTCCCCTTCCTCCTCCTCCTTTTAAAAATGTTTAGAGGGTTTCATTATGCTGTTAACTCATATGCATCTGTGTTTATATATATATATATATATCATCATCATCATCATAAGTATTTTAGGTCTGTACTCCACAAATGAGCAAGAACACTTGATAATCTTTTTATTTTGAGTTTGGTTTATATTGCTCAACATGATCTCCAGACAGCAAGCTTCCAATACTGTGCCATTTTTTACAACATCATTCCATAAAACAAGGAAAGAAATAAGCATAAACATGGAACAACTGAGCCACCAAAGCAATCCCCACTGTCCACATGTTTTTCATTTGTCATGGGCTCAAAATAAATTTGGAGATAGAGCTGAAGGATTTAGCTTTTCTTTCTTGAATTTGATGGGAAGAGGGGTTCAATAAAAGTGTTAGTGTTTGATTTTTTAATGATTGATGTGGATTAAAAGGTAGTAGGGGGAAAACAAAGGAGGAGGTAACAATGCTTAATAGGAAATATACTTGTTACCTTGCTCATGTAACTGTAACCCCTCTGTACAGCATTTTTACAATAAACAATGCATTAAAAATAAAAATAAAAAAAGAAGTCAGATAACTCCTGGCTTCAAAGATGTTTATCAACAATACCCTAGTTTTGTTATACTTTAGTATAAAGCTGTGAACTTCGTAACTTTATAAAACAAGACATAAAACAAATAAAAGAGGAGGATAAAGTACTAAATTAGTAAAAGAGGACTCTGTTTTAGAACACAGTTTCTACTGTGCACTGCCATCTTAACTGTTTCAGCTTCCTCCTGAGTCAAGTGGAGGACAAGAGATTGAGGAGAGGATGTGAAGAATTGCTGGCAGAAGTCTTAGTCAGGTTTGCAAGACAGGTAACACCAATCCAACCACATTAGAGGACAGTACCAGAAATGTGGGTTATTGAGTATATGTAGAAAAATCAATATGCAGCACACAACCTCCCACTGTATCAAGTTGTATGAAATTCAATTTATAATTTGACTGTCTTGTTTTATGTGGCTTATGAAAAGAAGCAACCTCAGTAAACCTGTAAAGGTATTTTTCAGAGCCCTATCAGCTACTGTTCTACAATAGTTGTCTGCTTTTGCTTTGTCTGTCAATTCTTGAAAAACTATTCACTCATTAAAGAATTAGTTATAAGAGCATTTCAAAAGAGGCTATTTGGATATGAAACCTGAAAGAAAAAAACATGATAGCCAGAGTATTACACACACACATACACACAGAATATACATACTTAATGCTCTTTTAAAAATCTTTCCATTTTGCAGCTTATTTTGCATGTATAAACATAACATGTTGCATGTAAGTATAAATATATGTGTGCTTAGATAATGTTAAGTATTTACTCTGTAGCTGTTAAACAAGGTCTTCAAGTCTTCATCACCTGCCAGCTGTCATGCTACTTTCTGTTTTTATGCTTTTGACTGCAGATAGATATACAGGTAGATACCTTAAGAAAGTAAGATCATACAGTGGTTGTCATTTGTGTCTGGTTTATTTCACTTAATGTAGTGCCCTAAAATTTCTTCCAAATGGTAACATATGTCAGACTCTCTCTACTTTTTAAGATAAAATTCCATTGTGTAGATAAACTTTTTGTTCATCCATTTGGTTATTCATGGGCACCTGGGCTACATTGCTTTCCTTTAACTCAGGTATTATATCAATTTCTTGCTCCTAAATCCTTGACAACCAGATAACCAAAGTTTGCATTTGAAAGTATCTCTGTGAACACTTTATTCCCTTCTAAATACCTTCTGTCATTGAACAAAATATGCACAGATAAGAATCGATTGGGGAGTGGCATAATCATCTTCGGGAATAAAGCAGAAGGTGGGAGAACAGGCTAGAAGATCTGACAATGATTTTGTTATCTTTCCATATTTATTTCAAGTGAAAGGAAATATTTCAGCATAGCTTATATAGACTTCTCAGTGTCAACAAAGCAAGCTCAGGCCCTTCTAAGACTCACTCTCTGCTCAGCACACAGGCCAGGCAGTGATATACCTTTGTTGACCCAAGCCAATTTTTTTTACAGCCCTCAAGGACTGCTCATCTGGTTGCTTGTTGTATTTGTTGCAGGAGCCCACAGACAGCCTTGAAGACAGTCTCCTTTCTTCCAGACCAGAGTTCATCATAGGCCCTGAAGGAGAGGAGGAAGATAATCCAGCAGCCAAGCATGGAGAGAATCCAGGCAATTGCAGTGTGCCTACAGAACATGCTGGTAGGTGAATGTGGCTGTTGGGAAGTATGCAGTATACACTTTCCAGTTTGTGTTGCATAGAGCCTTGGCTCACACTGTTTCACACCATTGAAGCAGAGTTTTAAAGAATACCTGAGGTGATGTTTCATTGATTTTCAGAGTAGTAAAAGCTCTGTGTTGCTTTGTATGGAATGTTTTCATTGGAGTGAGTTCATGGTGGGGAGATGTGGGAAAATGTGCTGAAGGCCTGGCAAGAGTGTTCCAGTGTGGTATATTTCAGAAGTTGTAGTTTTTGCTTGCTTTTCGTTGTATTGAGAATTGAACCAGAGGTCTTTTGAATGCTAGACAAGTGCTCTGTCTCTTGAGATACACCCCCTAGGCCTTTGGTTCATATTTTGTTTTTGAGATAGGATCATCATAACTTTGCCCGAAGTTGGCCGTCATCTTGCAATCTTTCTATCTTGCCTCCTCAGTAGTTGGGAGTACAGGTTTGTGCTACCATACCTGGCTGTATTGGAGTATTTTTTTTTTTTTTTTCCTCTCCTGGTCCTGGGGATTGAACTCAGGGCCTGGGCACTGTCCCTGAGGTTATTTTTGCTCAAGGCTAGCACTCTACCACTTGAGCCACAGCGCCACTTCTGGCTTTTTCTGTTTCAGTGGTACTGAGGAATCAAACCCAGAGCTTCATGCATGCTAGGCAAGCATGCTACCACTAAACCACTTCCCAGACTCTATATTGGAGTTTTAAGAAAGATTTTCTTTAAATAAAGTATCCTTCAGAGAATAAAGTTAGTCTGGCAGCATAGCTCAAATACCTGGCTAGCCAGGGTGAGGCCTTGAAAAGAAAGTCCAAATCTACTGATTTACTTCACCCTACTTCAGCCTTCTTAGCAAATAAGAAAATAAATCCTAGATTGATTATGTCACTCGCTCATGGTCCTGTAGTTAATGATTCATTTGTAATTTATCATTTATATTCTTACAAAGAAAATAAATGAGCTTCATTCTCTACCTTTGATTCTGGGCACAACAGAGGTGGGGTCTGGGAATTAGAAATCCAAATACTGAACACCTTATAGTGGCAGGAGTTGGGACTGGAACTCATTTATCCTGGTTTACTTAATAGTGAGCTTGTTTTAGGACTGAAGTTGTTTAGGCCTAGATTTAGAGTTAAACTTACGTAGATTTGAACCCTATGAGAGACATAGGATCCACAAACTATTTCTATGCAAATATCTGTCTATAATATAAAGTATCATAATATTTTCATATGAGCTATGTACTTCTCATATACATTAAATTATCCTTAGATTACTTAAGTAATAAAATGGAAAAGCTTTGTTTTATTTTATTTTGTTTTGTTTTGTGGTGATGAGGATGGATCCCAAGGCCTTACACATGCTAGGCATGAGCTTTAATACCCAGTTATATTCTTGGCCTATCATGAAAAAATTATACAGTTATTCTGTATAATTTATAGAACAATGACAAGAAAATTGTCTATATATATGTTCAATAAAGATGCAGTTATTTTTCTTTGAATACTTTTGAGCCTTGGTTGGATTGAATCTACCAATAGATACAGAAAGCCAACTGTACTATTTTCCTTGTTGAATTATTATAAACTCTACTTTAAAAAATAAATGGGTATTCTGACGCAGACAATAGCGCCTATCACAGCTTTGGTCTATTTTGCTTCTTTTATTTTTTATTTTCTTGCAAGAACAGTTACTGTCTCTATTGAGCTGGTCCTGGTGGTGCACATCTGTAATTCCAGCACTCAAGAGGTTGAAACAAAGCAGATCATGAGTTCAAGGGCTACCGACATAAGAGATCCATCTCAAACAGAAGCAGACAACAAACTGTCGCCTCAGAGAAGCTCCTTTTGGCTTTCTTCCTAGATCAGTGTTCCTTATTGCTGAGCGCCTTAGTGTTACTTCTGGTCTGTGACCTGTAGGAACCAATGTTCCATTGACATATGCTTAGTGAGTTCCATGTCATTCTAGATGATTTCCTTCTTTCTGCATCTTATAGAAAGCTGCATTTCTTATAGCGACTAGATATGTCCACACCAAAAATACATAAAAATGTTGTGTTAAACAAAATAGAATCAAGTGCGGATAACAAGCACTTAAAATGCCTGTGAGGGGCGGAGTCCCAAAAACCTATTTAATCTGAATATCAAGAGGATTTGATGGATGTTATCTCTGATCCTAGGAATTTCCACAACTTACCTTGACACAGTATTTCAGACATTTTGATACCTGGTTCGCTTGTGGCTTCTAGTCTTGAGCATGCTGGTCTGTATGCCATATCCCTGCTCCACCATAGAGGTGAAAAGTTCAGGGATCCTCATGAGAAAATGAATCCATGAGTGGTGTTCTTTTCTTTTTTTTTCTTTTTTTTTGGGGGGGGGGTCCGGTCGTGGGACCTGAACTCTGGGCCTGGGCTCTGTCCCTCAGCTCTTCAGCTCAAGGGTAGTGCTCTACCACTTGAGCCACAGTGCCACTTCCGGCTTTTTCTTTTTGCTTATGTGGTGCTGAGGAATCGAACCCAGGGCCTCGAGCATGCAAGGCAAGCGCTCTACCACTGAGCCACCTTCCCAGCCCCAATGAGTGGTGTTCTTATCTGAGTATATTCATCTTGTTCAAAATATGCTCATTTTGTGTTAGTCTATGTGATAAACCCCACTTTCAGTGCTAGTCGTCTTGCATACATCTCTTTAATATTTGTTTCCATTTTAATTACAAAGCTTCTCATCATTTAGGGCGCATAAGAGCTTCCATCCCACAGGAGCTCAGGGTTGGCTTGAGGTAGCTCAGAGAGCCAGACACTAGAATTTGTAATAGGCAACAAAGTGAAAGGGGAGGCTGACAACACTACTTTCTGAAGGTTTCCTGCACTTGCCTCGTAGCAGGATATACGCTCATCTGGACACCAGTGCAGACATTACATAAACATTTTTGATACATTCGGTATCTATTTTTTTCTGATCTATTTTTCTCTGATTTGATATCTTAGCAGATGGTGGGAGAAGTGGAGGTAAGCTAACTTTCGTGTAATTATTTCTCCACAGTGATAAAGAATGATACGGAAAGAAAATTTTGCTACCAACAGCTTCCAGTAACATTAAGACTAATATATACTATTTTCCAGGTATGTTTTTTTTTTAAATCTTTGATTGTTTGGCTTGGTAGCAATGCTGTTTTGAAAAGCCCAGTAACTATGTGGTTTGTTTACATAGGAAATGGCTAAGTTTGAAGAGCCAGACATTCTCTTTAATATGCTCAATTGCCTGAAGATTCTCTGTCTGCATGGAGAGTGTTTATACATTGCTAGAAAAGATCATCCTCAATTTTTAGCCTATATTCAGGACCATATGTTGATTGCCAGGTATGTCTTGCTAACCTTTCCTTTTTGTTTACACTTTAGGCTTTAGGTGTGAAAATTAAAATCAGAATATGACTAGTTTTTGGTTTGTTTTTTTTTTTTTGGTTGGTCGTGGGGCTTGAACTCTGGGCTTGGGCGCTGTCCCTCAGCTCTTCAGCTCAAGGCCAGCGCTCTACCGCCTGAGCCACACCGCCACTTCCACTCTAGTTCATTTGACTTATTGTTCTTAGCTAAGAAAGCTTAATTTGTTATGGGAACTACATTATTCTGAATGCTAATATGAAAATAGCAGTGTTTACTTGCTAGATTCTGTGGAAATAAATATGGTAAAATAAAGATTATCGTATGCCTTTCAGTTATTTGATTGGGTAATAAAATAGTATACCTAGTAGACAAATTTGATTAAAGTAAATTATATGTATGTATCAAAACATTACAGTGATAATTTTTTACACAGTTAATATGTTATTAAAAATAAATATAATATAGTGAAAAGAAAGACTACGTCAACAGACAATAAGTTAATAATTACCTACTATAACTTGGTAACAATTTAATTATTTTCTTACCAGAACTAGAGCTGCTAATGAACATTTAAAATCCTTCCTCATGTTGTCTGATAAATTACTTTTAGACACATATGAGTCATTTTGAGAAGAAGAATAAAACATCATCCTAGGTCTGTAGTGTTCTCTACCTGAGAATCTTAAAATACCTGTTATAATCTTCCTGGAAATAAAATTTTAAAAAGTCTTCATTTTACATGTAAGAGAATGAATTGATTAAAAAAAGGGAAGGGTGATTCATGTACGCTTTGCTGACGCTGTCTCATGTTCACTCACTTTGTTCATTTATTTATTCAACAAATATATACAATGCTTACCAGAATGCTTACGAGAATTTGCAGTCTAGTTTGGAAAAGAATGAATACTAAAATATACAGAAGGTGACCACGATTTTTTTGTTATTTAATGTGGTCTACTTTTGAGAGTAGTTTCATAATAACTTCAAAATATAAAAGTAGACTAAGTTCATCACACTCTTACCCAAGACACACGATCATTCTGTGTATGTATGTATATGTCTCTATTAATCTAAGGGAATGTGATTCCTGGCTAATTTGCATAGCTCCCAGGTGGGCAAGAACATTTCTAGGTGAATGATTAGGGAAGGACTCAGCAGAAGATACCACTTGAGTGAGAAGTACAGTCAAGAATTTGCATAAAGGTTTGAAATAGGTAGGACATTTAGTGGAAAGCAGGAGTATCAAGGACAAATGGAATTGGAAGGAAGAGAAAAGAAATGGACAAGGCTTACTTAAATAATCCCAAGGTTCTATTTAGCTGCATGGTGAAATTTTAGGAAAGAAGGAAAATAAAAGAATCTAGAGAAGTAAGTTGGGACTCAAGTGCAAAGAACCTTCAAAGATACTTTCTTTAATGAGGTCTCTGAAAGATAATAAAATAATGAGCAGGGTCAAAGTTGAGCCTTAATTGAGAATATCAAAAAGAGCCACATTCAAAAGAATGCAAGGTCAAGTCACAGGGATTAAAGGTTTATAGCACAGTACTTTGTTTTCCGAAAAGTTTGTTATAATGGGACTGAAGGTATATAGCACAATATTCTGTTCTCTGAAAATTTTGTTACAAAAATAAAGGAAACATTGGCTACTTTAGAGGGGAAAGGGAGCTAATATCAAGGACTTGTAGGATAGGGAAAATTTGGATAGATTTATTACCAGTGGAAAAGGATCAGAAGAGAAGGCTAGAAAGAGAATAATGGCACCACCATCTGGAAAGCAAGTGACTGTAATCAAGAATAAAGGGTAGAGCTGGGTGCCAGAGGATGAGATCTGAGGATTACAGTTTGAAGCCAGATCAGGCAGGAAATGTCTGTGATAGCCTTATCTCCACTTAACTACCACCCTTCCTTCCCAAGAAAAGCTGGAAATGGGGCTGTAGCACAAGTGGTAAAGCACCAGCCTTGAGCACAAAAGCTCAAGGACAGTGCCAGGGATCTGAGTTCAAGACCCAAGCTTGGCACCAAAAATAAATAAAGAAAGACAGAAAGACAGAGAGAAAGGAAGGAAGGAAGGAAGGAAGGAAGGAAGGAAGGAAGGAAGGAAGGAAGGAAGGAAGGAAGGACTAACAAAGGGTAGAAGAGTGGAGGAATGTTCTTTCCTTTGACAGTGATAACTTCTGAGGAAAAGAGATCATTGGTGCTGAGTTTTGTTTTGCTGCCTTCAACTAAATTGAACATACCATTACAGACAGATTGTGGCCTTTTTCCTTTGCATTCTTCATAGGGCTTATTTTCATACTCTAGAAACATCTTTATCTTCACAATGATAATAATGAATGATAATAGCTCAAGGTCACTAAATATCTGCTATGCATCAACTATGCATCATGTTGTTTAATACAGCCCACAATAAGAGGAAATTAAAGTTCAGATGAGTTGAGACATTTACACATGATTGCATAGCTAATTAATGGTATAGGTAGGATTAGATCCATGTTTCCCTGACTTCCATTACTCAGATTAAGCATATGTCATTTGAAAAAATCTTTTAAATTCTAAAGCTTTGGTGTATCTTTTGACTAATGTAACTCCAGTGGCTTGTATCTCAATGTATTTTGCAAATAAGGTTAGTTCTACCATCTCTCAGTAGTGTATCTCTCTCTGTTTCTCTCTGTCTCTGTCTCTCTATGTCACTACCTCTCTCTGTCACTTTATCTTTTTCCCCCTTGTCTTTCTTTCAGCCACCCCATCAGTGAGGCCAGTTCTGTCAGAACTTTTTACAGCAACCTAAATGTTGTCTTATTCCTAGTCAGGATGACTCTGGAAGTGCTGGACTGATACCTTTCAATTCTGAGATTACAGAAGGAGGATATCTCAGAAGCCATATTGCTCTTGGAGAGAGGCTTTCTGACGCTATTATGTTTGGATCATATGCCCAATTATAGGCCAATCACTCTGTTCAGGATATTTGATTAATTTACATTTTGTGTTTCCCCTTATAACAGGAAAGGTGGAGAAGCTTGAGTGACAATCATATCAGTTCTTGCAGAGATTGCTATTAATAGAAAAACAGTTGTTCTTTTCCATAAATAAAGGGAAAAAACTGCTGGGCAGGCAAAACCAATAAAAATGTCCAGATACTCACTATATGAAAAATTTAGAAGTCACTTATTATAACTGGCATAAATTTGTATGTTATTTAACTCATTGTTCATTTATAGAGCTGAATTTAGAAGTCAATTAAAATCTTATGTTAAAATACAGTGTCTATAATGTTACATAAAACAGTTTCTTCAAACAGAATAAAGCCTAGGAAATGTTTGTCACAGGATTATTATCTTGTGGATGAGTGCAGTTTCAACAAAAGCATCCCTACTGGATGCCAACTAATTACACTTTCCGTGAATTAAGACGTCGGGATTTTTTTTATTCTGAAAAGGTTTTGGTAACTGTGACCGCTTTCCTTCTCCTTGTTGCCCAGCCTGTGGAGAGTTGTCAAGTCTGAGTTCTCCCAGCTGTCCTCCTTGGCAGTCCCTCTCCTTCTCCATGCTCTGTCACTTCCTCATGGTGCTGACATCTTCTGGACAATCATAAATGGAAATTTCAACAGCAAAGACTGGAAGATGAGGTTTGAAGCAGGTATTTCTATATTAGCTTAACAATTCCCTGGGCCATAAGGTAAACCAGTTGTATAGTTTAAATTTTTTAAAAATTGTTATTATGAAAGTGATGTACAGAGGGATTATAGTTACATAAGTCAGGTAAAGAGTATATTTCTTTTTGGACAATGTCACCCCTTCCCTCACTCTCTTCTAGTTCTTTCCTGCCATAATATAGTTAATTCTCAACATAGTATCTAGTGAGTACCGCTGCTGCATTTGTTTACTCTTTATATGATCAAAAGCACATAAGCATTGTGCCTTTGTGATCTTCTCCTAAGTCAGATGTATAGTTTGGGCATTTATTTTTAGCCTTAATTTCTTTTATTTTTTGGAGGAGGGGGTAGGGAGGTGGTGGTGTTCAGTCGTAGGACTTGAACTCAGGGCCTGGCGCTGTCTTTGAGGTCTCTTTGCTGAAGGCTAGCACTCTACCACTTTGAGCCACAGTGCAACTTCTGGTTTTCTGGTGGCTAATTGGAGATAAGAGTCTCACATTTTCCTGTGAAATCTGGCTTTGAATGGTGATCCTCAGATCTCAGCCCCCTGAGTATCTAGGATTACAGCTATGATTAAGCCTGTCTTAACTCTAATTTCCCTTCCCATCCTTGTAAAGGGAATTCTCATGCTGTGTTCTTTGCTGGTTCCATTTAGATGAGCTTAGATGCAGTGTAGTTTTAGGGGGGATTCTTGCCATGTTTGACAAAGTGTAATTACTCTTATTATACACACATAATTAACTTCAGCCTTCTTTACTCCTAATTGCTTCCCAGCTTGGGTTATAATGTGGCAACCCACATTGTTATTTGTATCAGAGTTACTTTCCCCAGAGTATTGAACCCACTCCTAGACCTATTGACTCAAAATCTTAAAGGGAGAGGTATCTAGATGTCTGATAAGTTATCCAGGTAACTCAATAAAGTTTGCTGATACCTACTATATACACTTGCTACTGAGAGACAAGTCTTTGGCAGAGACCTGGTCTTCCCTGAGTCTGTTGCAGTGATGATTATAATTTCCTAGGGCATAGAATAGCAAGTTTTCTGAGTAATAAGTAAGAAAGGAACATGGGTGTGTTTTCTTAGCCTCAGATCTGCTAGCTCATCATCACTTCATTCTGCTAATACTTGCCTTATCAAGGGCAACAAACAGGTTTAGCATGCTGAGCCTAGCTCCTCATAACAGCCCTAGTATCTAGAGTCCAAACATTTGGCACAGTACTGACTTTCTGTCAGACATATTAGAGTTCAGTTTCCCAGTAACTTCAGAGAGTGCTTGCTTTTTGTTGCTCATGTGATCCCAGAAGCAAATTCATTTATATGATAGTTAATACATAACATTATAGGAAATTATATGTTAATCTATAGCATTAGTTTCTTAGCAGGAATGTACTTGATATTTGTGTTATTTCATAGGAAATGTGGTATTTAATGCAAATAGGAAAATATGCTTTTAATTCCAATTTAAGTTGGAATTATTGCCAGTCCCAGCTACACTTCAATTCAGAATGCCTACCTGTTGATTTCTGCAGCCCGTCCATGGAAGCTCTTGGACCACATAGGAGGGGAAAGGTACCCACCAGGCTCTAGGTTCCGGGTCTCTGCTGTTACTAGGTCATGATGTAAAATGACCAAACAGCCTATGTTCATTATTCCAGACATTCCTAAAAATATAACCATGAAGTTATCATAAATAGTAAAGCAGTGTTTTGTGGTATGAATTAAAATATTTGAGTGCTCAGCCTAGAATACTGTTTCTATTCTTTCCTGTTTATTGACATTACCACCCTTTAAGAATCTACCATATTGACTTTCTTCCTGTTCAATAAAATCCATTCTGACCTTTATCCTATGAACTCTGGTAAAAACTCTACTCATGTACATACTATTAATTTACATATGGCATCTGTATGTTCATACATCGCTATGTAACATTTTCTTCTGAGATTTATGATTTGTTAACCTTTTCCATGTTTTTATTTTACCTCATTAACTCAATTGGGAGACCTTTAAGAATAGAAACTTTCTATTAAACTTCTTTATAATTGCTCTATTAATAAGATATGTTGTATTTATTCAAAAATTCCATAGGTTCATTTATTTTTAATATATATTAAGAAATACACATATATACACGTACATATATACTCAGGGACTAATGCTTATAATTTGAGCTACCCAGGAGACTGAGACCTGGAGGATTATCATTTGAAGCCAGCTTTGGGGTGGGGGTGGGGTAGGGGGAAAGTCCACAAGATGCTATTTTCAATTAACCATCAAAATGCTGGACTGGTGGGGTATGGTTCAAGTGGTAGAGCACCAGTCATGATAAAGTTAGCTGAGCAAGAGCGCAAAGACCTGAGTTCAAACCATGATACTAGAACCTAGAGTGTGTACAAGCATACACACACACACACACTATATATGTATATATATATATATATATATATATATATACACACACACACACACACACACACACACACATTCATACACACATATATATGCTTAAGCATTTGGGAGTAGATGGAAGTAAATGTTAAGATTTATAGCACTTGATGTCAAAGTCCAGACTGACTACAGGATATAAGATAATTATAGCTGGTATATAATATAAAAAACTATGGTTGCTTCCAACAAGATACAAATAAAGCCAACCATGGGCACACACCTGTAATCCTAGCTACTCAGGAGGCTGAGATCTGAAGATTGTGGTTCAGTCAGCGCAGGAATGAACATGAGACGTGTCCAATTAACAACTAGAAATAGCCTGAAGTGGCACTGTGGCTCAAGTGGTAGAATGCTAGCCTTGAGCAAAAAGGAGCTCTGGCTTACACCTGTAATCCAGGAACTTGGGAGCTGTGATCTGAGAATCACAGTTCCCAAGCCAGTCTGGGCAGGAAAGTCTGTGAGATTCTTACTGTCAATTAACTGCCCAAAAGTTGGAAGTGGATCTGTGGCTCAAGTGGTAGAACATTAGCTTTGAGGAAAAGCTCAGGGACAGTGCCCAAATCCAAAGCTTAAGCCCCAGGATACACACACACACACACACACACACACACACACACACAGCCCTATATTAACTTTTTCTCTGTGGGTTCAGTATACTGTCTAAATATTGTCTATATATATACATGCATTTTGTATACTGTATTTTTATATTTCAGTGGAAAAGGTGGCTGTAATTTGCAGATTTCTGGATATTCACTCAGTGACCAAAAACCACTTGCTGAAGTACTCCCTCGCGCATGCCTTCTGCTGTTTCCTGACGGCTGTGGAGGATGTCAACCCAGCGGTGGCCACCAGGGCAGGTCTCCTGCTTGACACGATAAAAAGACCAGCATTACAGGTGATGTGTGATATGTGTCATCAACCCCAAAGATGGTCTGTGTCTGTACCACTAAATCATTGGCTTCTTTGTTGCCTGTGTTAGTATTTTAGACTTGCTGTAGCAAAGTACTAAAAACAGGATAACTTCTAACATATAAAAGAATAGAACTTTATTTCTCAGAGTACTAGAGGCTAGGAAGTCCACAATCAGTGTGCTGACAGATTTAGTAACTGGTAAGGCAAGGACTCACTTTCCAGCTCACAGATGGTGCCTATCCCTGTAAACGCAGCCTCTGTTCAGGGCATTAATCCTATCATGAGGTCTCGGTCCATATGACCTAATCATTCCTCATGAAGTTTTGAAATTTATGCATTTTATAAATTTTTAGGGGGTCACAAATATTCACAAACATTCAGACCACAGCATCGTATAAACAGATACTACATTGATGCTGGTAGTGATGATGTTTAGAAGGGAAATCTCTTTGTGTGGGCATTTGCATTACGTTACAATGAAGATAACAAAAAGATGAGTGGTAGGATCATAGAGTAGAGAAGTGGATGTTTCATCCATTCCAGCTTCTGTTTTCTAGCATTCCATGTTCCCTATGTTCTTCTAGAATCACACAATTTAAGATTGAAAGGGAATTTGAAGACCATCTTCCTATGTAATCTAAAATGCAGCTTTGAAGGTGCTTCTTGATGAAAACTACAGACATCAAAACAAGATACATTAATATTGGGATCAAATGATTATTATCTAACACATAAGAAAATTAGTAGTATACATTTAGTTCATATTTCTGAATCAAAATTCAAGAGATACTCTCTTTAGGAGCAACTCCTCTGCATTTTTTCCCCTTACACTACTGGTCATCAAAAAGATGTAGTTGGCTTATTCTACTTATAAGTATGGTTTGGGAAATTGCCTCATTTCATTCACTGTCTAGAATACTATCTTTGAAGAATTGTGGCTATTTATGTCTGATGCTCTCTACCCTCCCTCTTTTCCAGGGCTTATGTCTTTGCCTTGACTTCCAGTTTGATACTGTGGTCAAAGACCGACCCACAATATTGAGCAAGCTTTTACTCTTACATTTTCTCAAGCAGGATATTCCTGCTTTGAGCTGGGAGTTCTTTGTCAATAGATTTGAGACTCTTTCTTTGGAAGCTCAGCTACATTTGGATTGCAACAAAGAATTTCCTTTCCCTACAAGTAAGTAAAATAAAAGCACTGGTTGTAAATAGCCATAATTCCTGATCTTCCCACTAGGTAAGCAAAATGTAGTTGGCATGTGATTTCAATTCCATGTCAAGTGACTTTGTGCACTCAAATCAAGTATTTGAATGTCTCTTGTGCTTATTCATAGATTTAAATATATTCTGACATTCCAAAATCCGAATTCTTATTTCCTTGAGAACCCATGATTATTTGTGACTGTATTATTATATTTATGATGTTCACAAGCAATCTTATGAACTACATTTGCACCTTGAAACTCTAGTGTGCTTATTAATCAATTGCCTATATCTCTAAGTACATGAAAAAATTTCTAAAATTAGATAATTTAGTCTTACAGTCTAAAATATAAAATAAGAGAGGATAGTCATTATTTATTTAATATAAGACTTATCATACAGGGAGATGGATGATTCATGCATCAGCGAAAGATGTCTTTTCATACTGAAATTATATACAGATGGATTGTTTCAAAATGTCTGTATCACATAGCTAGTGAAGGAGGACGATAACCTCTTTAATTCCTTCTGCAAAGCCATCACTGCTGTAAGAACCAATGTTGCCAACCTTAGTGATGCTGCGTTGTGGAAGATCAAGAGGGCTCGCTTCGCAAGAAATCGCCAGAAGAGTGTGAGATCTCTGAGAGACAGTGTGAAAGGGCCGGCGGAATCCAAGAGGGCGCTCTCCCTCCCCGAGACCCTAACCTCCAAAATTCGTTGAGTATCTTTGTCCATCTTTCCATGACATCTGTTTAATGTCTTTCTGAGGCTGCTTGTCTTGTTGAATGTTCACAGAGAGTAGCAGGGATAGCAAACAATTTGTCCAACAGGTTTGGCCCTCAGATTCCCTAAAACATTCACCCAGAGTTGTAAAGGTCATGAGTAACTTTTTATAGTTTGTGGGTGCAGCAAAGCCCTGGTCTAGTAAGAGATTGTTTTGAGATGTAGATGTGGGCATGAAGCTTAGAAGAAGCATTTGCTTCTAACTTCTAGAATAGGAAGGTATGCACACCAGTCATATAATCTAAGCACTTTCTAAATAAAATGTAGATGATACCTATGCAGCTGTGAGGTAGAGCTAAAATTTAGAATGCGTTTTCTTTTCATGAAGCCTAGAAGCAGCCACATAAACCTTCAGACAAACCAGTAATAATGGTTGCTTTCAAAAAAGAAAAATAAGGCTATGAAGTTGAACCTTTATTCAAACTCACCAGATAACTTATAAGTGAAATAAACTTTATTACCAGGTTTTAAAACAAGAGTTCTATATGTATGTCTACACATACATACATATATGTGTATTTATTTGATAAATGTTTTTCTGCATATTACACTTTAATGATAATAAAATTTCCTTAAAAACCAAATGACTAGTTTAGCTCTAATGTTTAACAATTGTACTTGAGTGAAAATAATTAAAAATTTATAACTAGATCACCATATTAATAAGTGAGTACATTTAATTTTATGTCTAAATTGTTAAAACTATTCAACATGTTAATCTTTAAGTAACATGAAGTTAATAAAATAATACCTAAAACATTTCTTACCCTGTTAGAAGCTCAGAGGTTTGCTTTTTCATTGGCTTTTGCTAGAAAACAGCCTTATATAACATAACCATTTTAATCATAATTTTTATTTAATTTTATTATGTGTTTCTCTGTTTTATGACAAACTATGGGAATGTGGTTATTTTAACTTTGGAAAGTCAATGGAAAGCTGCATAAATAATCAATGACCCAGTTTTTCAGGGAAAGAAGATAATCACATGTGGCCCTTTCAGAAAACCTATAGTATAGTGTAAGGTTCCAGGGAAAACTTCCAGATCCTAGAAACCAAGATCTAGATTAAATAAATTGCCATTTTTATATGAGTTTTCCAGCACATTTATTTCCTAACTTATTAATTTGAGGTATAAACTTTATTGTTATTTCTTGCTAATTAATTCACATGACAATTTTGATGATTAAGAATTTAAGTAATGTGGAAGGATCTTCTTGAGATCCAAATAAAACCATGAAAATTCCGTTACATAAACATCTTTTATGTGATGCTAAAAGCATGTTTCTACTGTCAAATTGCAGTTAGCACTGAGTGTATTTTCTAGACTCAAGTTGTCTTTAATGCTTATTTAAATAGAGTTGTTGTTGATTTTTAAGCTGTGAGGTTGACCAGGCATGAGCAGTCTGCTCCAGCTCTCGGTGGGACACCCGAACAGACTCCAGGTGGGTACTGCTGACGTGAAAGGGCCTGTGCGAGGGTCTAGCACAGGTGGACAAGGTAAAGACTTTGGTGTCTCTGACTGGACCAGAGTGATATTCTTAGGATTTGTGAGCTCTACAGGGGTTTTCCCCAGATGCTCAAGCGTTTGAGCCCTCAAACAGCAATTCTTTCATCTTACTCTTAGCTTATGACTTTGGACTCGTGAACTTTTGGTCCAGTAAGAAGCATCATATTACCTCAATATGCACCATTTCCCACAGAGCCAAGAGTATCAGAACTATCCATAGTACTTATATTTGTATGTGTATTTACACATAGAAATATTGTTTTTATATACATCTGCTTTAGGCAAAACATACGTTCCATTTACATTGTAAAAGATTATGCATTTGAACCACCGTCATCTACTCATCCTCTTAGCCATTCTTGATTCTTTGCGACTTTGCATTTCTGTTTCTCACAGAAAGGAGCATTTTCATTTTTCTGGAGGACCATAGGATCATGGTCAGCATCATGGTAGAATGTTACTTATCATTTGATATTCCATGATATATTATAATTTATCATGAAGTATCCTAAGGTTGGATGGCCATTGGCAAGGACATTGCAGACTGAATGTTTTCCACGCAGTAGTGCCATGTGGATGGGGAAGATTACAAAAGTTTTCAATATTTGAATATTGGTCAAAAATAGCCTTGGTAACTATCTCTTACATGTCATTCTATAACTATATGGTTTTTCATCTAAGAATGGTTTAAGCTTTTCAGAATGGAATCAGTACTCTCAGAAAGAAAATTTCAAGTAAGGAGATATGAAGATAATGTGCATTTGGTATTAGAAAAAGGACACTAAAAATAGAGTGAGTCAGGAATGAGAGAGAAAGAAAATTGTAAATGCCATTGGCACTGGCGACTGAAAGAGTATGTGTTTACTTTTTAAAAATTAATGAAGCAGGAGTAGCAAATGTTTGGAAGAGTTGCCCTGTCTTGGATTCCAGATGACTTGTCTTTACTGTGCAGAGGGAAAGGGGAGGGAGAGAGAGAGGAAGAAATAAAAATTTCTGGTCCCGAGTTGCATTAGAAATGTGAAATCTATTCACTTCTTCTTTAGTGAGGTCTTTTTGAGATTGTATTTGTGTATTTCAGACACTTTCCTTATTCTATGTTAGCTTGTCTTTTTATCTTAAGGCTTACTTGAAAAGTCTTTAATTATTATTATTCATCTTAAAAAATACAACCTAAGAGTCCCCTCAGTCTTAGTGAGAATCCATCTGTCTGTCTGTCTATCTATCTATCTATCTATCTATCTATCTATCTATCTATCTATATCTTGAAGTTAAGGAAGTCTTTCAAGGAGCTAATTATCCCATTAAAAAGTACCCAGTAGAAAGGTGGTAGATAACAGCATTGTTTAAATTAAATATGAACTGAAACTTCTGGAGAGATAATTTATATGTAAAACTTGCTTAGATTTGGCAACAGTTGGTTCAGCTTATAAAGTAATTTCAAGCTAGTACTTTTTGCCTTGTTATTTTCTGGACATGGAATATTTTAAATTAGCAACAAAGACATGCCAAGATAATCATAGTATTCTGCATATGGTTTAAAAAAGTAAATTGATACCTACTCAGAAAGCTAAGTTCTGAGGATTATAGTTTAAAGCCAGCTGGGGCAGACTTTAATCTCCAATTAGAGTCCAGATAATCTACAATCAATCACCACAAAAAGTCACAAGTTGAGCTGAGACTCAAGTGGTAGGATGCTAGCCTTGGGCAAAAAGAGCTCAGGAATAGAACCTAGGCTCCAAGTCCAAGGCCTAGTTGGAGCACGCACGCACACACACACACACACACACACACACACACACAGAGAGAGAGAGAGAGAGAGAGAGAGAGAGAGAAACCAGAGAATTTGCTATTTAATAAACATACTTTTATTTGGTCTACCTAATGAGCTCTCCTGTGTAGACCTCTTATTGTTTAGGCTTGAAATTAAGCAGATACTATTTAATTCAGTAGCAAGACTTAATTTCAAATTTTGTTTAGGCTGAACTTCTTGGCACTGAACTTATAATTTATTATTCTAATTTTAGCCTTTACATAGGGCCCACAGCAAATAAGACAGAAATTCCATTTTCAATGGATGATACTCTCCACAAAGCTTGTAAACAGCTGCATTCCTCTGTGATTTTTATGAGTCAAATCAAATGCCTTTCTGCACATAAATAAAATGTATAGAATGTTACAGCCAAAACGCTAGAGATATGCAAACATCCTCATTTTACAGAGGAAGAGTCTGTGTTTCTTATGAAGGAACAGGTGCCGCAGATTTATTTTGGTGACAAACCTAGACCTTAGAGCTCCTGAGCTCTCTTTTTTGATCTGTTAACTTGAAGTTTTTATTTGTTTTGGGGGGGGGTCCAGTCATGGGCCCTGAACTCTGGGCCTGGATATGGTCCCTCAGCTCTTCAACTCAAGGCTAGCGCTTTACCACTTGAGCCACAGTGCCACTTCTGACTTTTTTCTTTTTGCTTATGTGGTGCTGAGGAATCGAACCCAGGGCCTCATGCATGCAAGGCAAGCGCTCTACCACTGAGCCACCTTCCCAGCCCACTTGAAGTTTTTATAATCAGATATAAGGTGTGTTTTCACTAATGTTGCCAGAACCAGGAATTCTTTGCCTTTGGATAGCTGGAACAAGCATTGAAGATTAATTGAAAATAATTCAGCTGTTGCTATATCAGCACAGTACTGAATGAACAGCTTCAATGAACATAGGGTATTTAATTACATATTGTTCCCTGTCTACTGGAATGAATAATTAAATGATAAATATATAATAATATTGCATATATAGAGAATGTTTTTGCAAACCAGCTATCTGACTTCACAACAACTCTGGATATATGTAATATGTTAATTTTGTTTTCATTTTACATGCAGACAGAAAAACTGATATACCCAGGGCCTGTATAATTTTGCCTCTGTGGTTTGCTTAAGGTCACCTAGATTAGTTAGGAATAGAACTGATATGTCCAGGAGACTTGGCTTTCTTTCTACCACATCTATCTCTTGATGTATCAGTGTTATGATATTTTCATTTTGTGGGACATGGGGACATTAGTCTGGTTGTAGAGTTGACTGGGCATTTATGACTTCTATTAGTTCAGCTTAAGCCTATAGTGACCCAAATACAAAATCTTCCCCGGAAAGGTCCAGATGTTAGGACCCCCAGTTGGTCCAGGGATATCCCAGCCTGCATAAGACTTACCTTCTCCCAGTTCTATTTGAGCTGATAGATAAATCTGGACATCTTTTGACTCACATTCTATTTGCAAGAAAAAGTGCTTGGTAAAACTGTCTTGTAGCCAGGCACTGGTGTCTCACATCTATAATTCTAGCTACTCAGGAGGCTGAGATCTGAGGATTGTGGTTTGAAGCCAGCCCTGGGTAGAAAAGTTTGTGAAACTCTTATTTCCAATAAACTACTCAGAA